AAGAGGAGGGGAATGAGCCCTCCTGAAGGAGCCATTGCTGGAGGTGAAGCCTTTCCTGCAATGCAGGAACAAGGGAGTGCTCCCACAAACTGTGTGTGAGCCCTGTGGGACCATGCTGGTCAATAGCAGCAACCACCACCATGGGAATGCCTCGCGATCTGCTGCTTCTCCCAGAGACCATGGAGTCATGGAATGTGTTGTGTTGGAAGGGACCTTAAAGCTCATCCAGCTCCAACCCCTGCCACGGGACACCTTCCACTAGAGCAGGTTGCTCCAAGCCCCTGTGTCCAACCTGGCCTTGAACACTGCCAGGGATGGGGCAGCCACAGCTTCTCTGGGCACCCTGTGCCAGCGCCTCAGCACCCTCACAGGGAAGAGCTTCTGCCTCAGAGCTCATCTCCATCTCCCCTCTGGCAGGTTAAAGCCATTGCCCTTGTCCTGTCCCTCCATCCCTTGTCCAAAGCCCCTCTCCAGGTTTCTTGTAGCCCCTGTAGGAACTGGAGCTGCTTATTCCCAAAAGATAGACAGATCCATTCAAACCCTGGATCCTGCCTCTCTTCTGGGGTCAGACTGAAGTGCTATGGCTGGTGCCACAACAGTTAATGCCAAAAGGCATTAATTGTGGTTTCCATGGTACACAGCAGGGCTCTGGCACCCACAGCTCCGATCCGGCTCCAGCACAGCTCCAGCACCACTGGTCACCTCCAAGCCCCACACACAGCCCCAGGGATGGAGCTCAGTGCCGATGCTCTGCGTGACTCAGGACCACACTTGATGGAGGGGAAGTGCCCAGAGAGTGGGCAAAAGTTGATGCCAGGTCATCAAAAAGCATCTCCCATGTGTGGCACTGGGGCAGGAGCAGGACAAGCTTCTCAGAATCATTCACCATGTGAGACCAAGCTCCATGAATCCCCAGACGAGGCCAAGCTCCACGTCGCACCACATGGCAGATCCTCTACCGATGAAAGCAGCCCCAGGAGGACACGGCGCTGGGTTAGCAGATGAAGCCCAGCTCTTCCTCATCCCAAATGCAAACACACACACACAAGCTGCTGTACCCATGTCCTTGGAAGGCGAAGGGTGGGCGCCCGCGTGTGTGGATGCAGCCAGAGCCTTCTGGTCGCCCGCCCGTGGCTGGCTGCAGCATGACGGATGGCAGGATGAAAAGCAGAGCCCTGAGGCTTTCAGGCGATAGGAGATTAATGATGACATGGCCTTGACCTCCCAAAGGTAAAGGTTATGGAACACTCAAGGCTAAGCAGCCTCCTGCTCCATGCCTGGGGCTGAGTGACAGCCTCCCATGGGTCAGGATGTGCAGCTGCACTCGCTGCCTTTGTGTGCTCCCCTCGCGGCTCCCGGAGACACCCGGAGCTGCCCCACGGACACCCGCCTCTCCCATCGTGGCTCTTCACTCATCCCTCAGCACAAGACCCACGTTCTGCTCCTCCCAAAGACACACAAAGCCCAAGCCAGCAACGCTCCAACAGCACCACGGGCTTCCAGCTGGGATGTGGGGTTCGTCCCAGGGGGATACGCACTGGGACTGAGCCATCACCATCCTCCAAGTGACTCCAACTTGAGGACCCCGTCTCAGGTGAGAGACACCAAGTGATAAACCGTGCCGGGAGCACTGGGCTAAGCCTCATGCAAGAGGAGACCCTGGCATGGGTCACGGAAGATCTTGCTCTACACAAGGCAATGGGAACCCAGAGGAGCTGTTGAAGGACCCTAGATGCTCTCATTCACACCCTGCGTGGTGCCTGAGTGGTCCCGGCTGCTTCCCTGCACCAAGGCACCTTCTCTGCAACACAAGCTGAGGGAAAGGGGCAGTCATGAGTCAGCTCCGAGCCCCTTCTCCCAACACACATCCTGGAAAACAGGTTGAGAAGACAAAATCCTACCCAACTGCAGCATTTTCCAGTGGTGGCAGCCGCCAGTGCTGAGGCTTCCCTGTGTGGAGACCCCGAAGGGGCTCTGTGGGGAGGAGGAACAGAAAGTCATGTTTGGGAGCAAGAGACGTGGCTCTGGGTGGGAGGAAGCGGAGTTAAAGCCACTTGGCAGACCCAGAGTCCAGCTGCTATGAGATGGGCGATGACGGAACATCATTGAATTGCACATGAGCCCCAGAATCACCCAAACCTAAATCAAGCCATTCTATTCAAGCCTGAGGCATGCAGCACCCCAGGGTGAGGTTAACCCCTCCCTGTGAGGCACCGGGATGAGCCCAGGGTGCCCAAGGGCTTGTTTCAAGCCACGGGGTCCTGCTATGAAGAGATAAAGCTGAAGGAGTTGGTAGAACAAGAGAACTCTTGGGGGCAAATGTGGTCGCTGCAAGTGCCATGGGGGACGATGACGACATGAGAGCCACAGACACTTATTCTCCCAGAATGGTTTGGGTGGGAAGCTCTGGGGCAGTAACACAAGAAGGATGTGGAGCTCTTGGAGTGAGTCCAGAGGAGGCCCCAGAGCTGCTGCGAGGGCTGGAGCAGCTCTGCTCTGGAGCCAGGCTGAGAGAGCTGGGCTGCTGCAGCCTGGAGAAGAGAAGGCTCCTTGAGGGGAGACCTTGGAGCAGCTCTGCTCTGGAGCCAGGCTGAGAGCTGGGCTCCTGCAGCCTGGAGAAGAGAAGGCGCCTTGAGGGGCGACCTTAGAGCAGCTCCAGTGCCTAAAGGGGCTCCAGAAAACCTGGAGAGGGGCTTTGGACAAGGGATGGAGGGACAGGACAAGGGCAATGGCTTTAACCTGCCAGAGGGGAGATGGAGATGAGCTCTGAGGCAGAAGCTCTTCCCTGTGAGGGTGCTGAGGCGCTGGCACAGGGTGCCCAGAGAAGCTGTGGCTGCCCCATCCCTGGCAGTGTTCAAGGCCAGGTTGGACACAGGGGCTTGGAGCAACCTGCTCTAGTGGAAGGTGTCCCTGCGTGTGGCAGGGGTTGGAACTGGACGAGCTTTAAGGTACCTTCCATCCCAAAACAGGCTGGGATTCTAAAGCATTATTCCTTGACTCGGTGCCACATCGCTGCAGAGACCAGTGCTGCTGGTGGGTGCAAACCCATCGAGTCTTCCAATAGCTGCTCCAGTTCTCCCGAGTTACAAGATTACTGGGACAGGAGGGATCCTGACCAGCCACACACCCCCCGTGCGCTCCCTGAGGGACTGGCGCTGCTGTCACTTTTGTCCTCCTCGCTGGAGCAGGGGTAAAGGGAAACCTGACTTTGTTCCTCAGGCCTGGAGAGAGCTGGCGCTGCCATTCCCATTCTTCCCCAGCCTCTCCTCCAAATTCCTGCAGCCAAATGGTTCCTGAGCCCCTGAATGGGACAGAATGACATCATTGATTGACTCAGAATAGAGGAGGAGGGGGTGGTGGTGGGGAAAAGATGTATTTGTGCTGGGGACAAAAGCAAAGTTCTGTTTCACAGCAGGGCTGGTGTGGGACCCTCCACGTGGGCAGAGGGAGGTCAGTTCCCCCCGGAGCTCTGCCTGGGACACGGGGTCCTTCCCTCGGCACTGGGATGCTTGCGGGAGCCCCCTGATACCGCTGCTGGAGGCAGGGAGGAGCGATGGGGCAGCCCCTTGGGGGCTGTTGGGGTCCCTGCAGGTTGGCCAAGCCCCAGTGGTGCTGCACCGGCAGAAGAACCTCTGGCTCTTCTGGAGAGCAGCTGGACACCACGTTGGCATCCCTGCTGGAAACCAGCACGGGGTTATCTCCATGTGAAGACACCAGTCAACACCCAGCGAGCACCGGAAAGAGAACGGAAGCCACAGTCTTATCTGCAGCAGGAGGGGGTCAGCATGTTCTCATGTGCCCAACCACAAGGTTCCGGGCTTGCAGCACCCCCATGGTAAAGTCCCCACCCCGTGGGCAGCGCTATTCTTCAACTTGTCACTTCCCATTATCCCAAAGCAACAGCCCACATCCAGCAGCTCCACTTGGGAAAGAGGACGTGGTGCTGCAGAGGCTGGGGACAGGCTGCAGCACCCAACTACAGTGAGTCCATGCCTTGCACAGGGTACCCCCCTGGTACTGCAAAGCTCCTGGAGACCAAGGGGAGGTGGGATTCTCCCCCTCTGCTCTGGTGGGCCCCCCCCAGAGAGCTGGGCTCTCCTTGGGGGTGTTGGGAATGGCAGAGGAATGATCCTGGAGCAGTTGTCAGGAGCTTGCTGGAAGGCAAGCAATTTGGCTGATTGTTTTCTTGCTCTCATTTAGCTGTTTTGTACACATGGGCTCTGCTGGTCCAGTGCCCCTGAGCTCCTCCACCAGCTCCTGACAGCAGCTCCATGGATCTCACATCCTCATTAACCGGGATTCAACTGGCACGAAGCTGCAAGCGGGGCTGGGGGAGACTTGCAGCTCCTGGAGCCCATGGATCGAGGGGACACTCAAGGGTCCCGTGCTGCTGCTTGGGACACACAATCCTTTGTTCCCCCCTCAAGCTCCAAAGGCTCCAAGTGGGATTCCCGGCCTGGAGCGACCTCAGAGCAGAGTCACGTCACCTCCTGCTCCCAACCCGAGCGGCCAGGGGTTAATCCACTAATTGCTCCTCTGGCTCCGCTGAAGAGGAGATGGAAGAGCCAATTACTTCACTCAGCTGCTGGCTGGGGAAAGGTGCTTGCTAATGGAACACAAAGGTGGCAAACAGAGCCTTTGTGGCAGCCCGAGGCCTCCCGCTGCCTGGTGGGTGCCAGCACTTCCCAACAGGAGACTTCCCATGGGCAAACTACCCATAGCAGTTCCCTCCATAGCATCAACCCGAGGAACAGCTGATGGAGAGGGACCATTCCCAGGCGCTGCTGGGGGGTTGAGTACAAGGAACAGGAGTCAACAGGTGGTGGTGGGAGGGCAGCACACGGGTGCTGGAGTAGGACGCCAAAGGGGAGAGGAACCCTGGCTTGATTTAGCTTAGAGATGCATTTGATGGCCCTGAGGTGCCTGGAGCCAAGGGAGCACCTGCCTCCCACATCCGCATCCCCATGCCCATCCCATCCCGCACCCCTTCAGCATTGAGGAAGGGCATTTTCAATTTGAAAGACTCCCAGCCCAGGGCGCTGATGGGGAGAGGGCGGTCCCCAAGCTCCATATGAGTTCACAGGCGCTGAAATCCCCCCACGCCTTCCTCCTGAATGGATCCGGGAGCAGCTCTCCAGGGCAACTCGCTG